ATGGCCCCTCTGTCATTTTATTCCTGTGTAATTGGGATATAAAAACTTTTCTTTATGGGTGCAACCTGACACTTCCACCTGTTTAGGAAAATATATAATGGGTTGTGCTTACTTTAAACTGCCTTGTGTTTATTATGGTTTGGGAATGTTTTACTTCATGCATGTTAATTTGATAAACTCGATATAGTTTTGGGTTAAAGTACAAGATTATGCCTTTGATGGGGATATTAAAGCAAGAAAATATGCTCAGTTGATTTACTTTCAAAGATTACATCTCTACATTAATTTTGGACATTAAGTATGCCTCAGATGACCCAGAGTAAGATATGTTCAACTTGACACAGGTCTAATTTTAAAAAAATCACAATATATACAAAAGAAACATGTACATACTGGTGGTCCAGATAAATATCTCCTCCAAAGAACCTTCTCAGAATTCCTCAGGCCTTCTCCTCATTATACCCACAATTTTTGTTTTCTGATGATGTTACCCGCTAACCTTTACCCTGAATTGGTGATATATGTATATGTCTCTCTTCCTGTGAAGGTCAATCATTGCTGAGGGGGCAGGAATAGCGTTTTGTTCATCTGTATATGTTTGTGACCCCAAAGAGTTGAATTGAACTGAATTTGGGGAATTTGAGAAGGGGACTATCTGAAATAGTGAAACCTATAACAGCTTCAGAATCAGGTTGAATCCATTTGGAATCCACCTCTGACATTTAGCAGCTGAGACCCCAAGCAATTTAACTTAGCCTCCTGAGGGATCTTTGTCATCTACTGTGGGAATAAGAATGCCTACCACCGCAGATCCTCTAGGTTGGCTAACCCAACACTTGTTTCTAATCCACTTCGCACTTGCCTTCCCCAACTATGGAGACTGGAAAGCAAATCCTCAGTTTCTCAAATTTATTCCACTTGGAAAATTTGTGGGTCACAGCTCCTGATAATAAGATAAAAACAGAAACACCTGAGTGATTGATGCTCTGTATGTAAAGTGGCTCACACACTCTAGATAACGTGAAATGTCAACATGATGTTTGGAGGTATAGTATCCACTTTGCAGCCTTGGGGATACTGAGTGGTATCATTGAGTGAATTTGACAATTGCCTCCCTCTGGGCTTCTTTTCATCTGGGAGAATTATCCATACCTCTTGAAGCCACTGTTAGTAGAATATCCTATTACCCCAAAACACATTCCTGCAATACCTCTATCTCATAGAATCACTGTCAATAATAAATGCAAGTCACTTGTGTTAAGTGTTTAGTACAGAACTTAATGTGTCATAGACAATCAATGAGTGATAACTTTTAATAGCACTAGATAGGGAGGGGCTTGCTGACAAAAGGCAAGTACTTTTGGAGCGCACTGTGAACATTTGGAATAAGACACTGGAGCAAGCAGCAGGGAACAAAAAGAAAGGATTCCCTAGGCCTCAGAAAGGATAGAAATATGTCCTAAGGGCAACAGACCCAGAGCCCATCAAGAGTGAGAATAAGACAGGATGGTGCATAATGGTCTCCTATTCCCTGGACACCTAAAAATGGAACCCCTTCCACCTTCCATTCCCTCTCCCTATCCTACCTGACATGGTTGGATGGGCTTGGGAATCTGGGCCTGATCCAGATACTTCATAAGAACATAGGATGTCTTATGTAAACTGTTCCCAAGCTAGGTTCCTCTTACTAGTTAATCCACTCTTACCTTAGTGTAGCAATCTCTGATATCATTGTCTTGTGACCCCCGCCCCGCACCTCCTAAAAGCACCTCCTAAAAACCACCTCCCGTGGGGCAGCATCCACAATGTAGCCCCTGCTGCTAAAGACTTTTCTCTACTTCTTCCAGATATCTGCTTTCAATGCTGTCATTGATAAACACTTCAGGGCCTTCCAGAGCTTTGGGGATCTTGGCTAATAAGAACATATGTCTGACCTATCTTCCTCTCCTCTGTCTACCTACTTTCTGAGTTTTCATGTCTTTAGCATTTCCCAGATGTGAAATCTGGGATGCTATTTCTCTGAAATAGTTATAAGTATCTCATAGAGCTAAATCATCTCATGGTCAAATAAGTCAGAAAAGCATTAGGTTAAACAAAGTTTAGCAGATTTCTTGCCTACATGACCTGTCAGTTTCTATACTATTTCTGCATACATGTGAATATATATATATATAGCACCGTGCTTCCCACACTTGTTTGCAAATCTCTCTTGGTCTAGGAATATCTCAAGGGCTAGTGTTCTGAGAGAGATGCTTTGAAAAACCCTGTCTTAGAAAAACAGTCTTCTGATTTCCCAGAAATTGGCTACACCCTCTTCCTGTCCCTAAACATTCTCTTCACCCTACAGATCTTCCCCATATCCCAGTCAGAGATGGGGGGCTCTCATTCTCCTTTTCTACTCACCACTCCCTCCCCACCCAGCCTCAAACCCAGTGTCCAGCTCCACTGGCCTCTGGCTCTCCCTAACCACACTGCCCTCCTCCCACCTCCAGGCCTTAGCTCAAGCTATGCTCCCTGCCCAGAGCCCTTCTGCTGCTCCTCCACTGGGGGAGGCTCCTATTGGCATTTCAAGCCCTAACTTGAATAGCGTATCCACTGTGAAATTTTCTCCAATTATTCATAGCCGAGTTAATTACTCCAACCTCTCCTCTGTGTTCCAAAGAACTTTGCAATCACGCTATTGCAGCATTTATCACATTGGTTACAGTTGCAGCCTCACCTTCCTTTCTCACTGAGCAGACTATTAATTCCTCTAGTAGGGTTTGTCCATAAATCTGCTGCATGTAATCTGCAGATCTTGAGTAAGTGTAGGTTTTATGAATGAACAAAAGGCTCTCTCAAAGTCCATAGGGACCTATCTCTCTATATCTTTATCAAAGGCATTATGGATTAAGGTCAGGTTATAACTGCAACCACCAAGACCCTACTCTCACCAAGGTACAAGCCCAGAGAACAAGATCAGGTTGCCAGGTAGCTTTCTGTAGCCCCCAATTACATTTTTTTTGACTAAAGGGGGAAAATAAATAAATTTTATATTTACTGGGTAACTAAAATAGAAGCAGTTCTAGTTTTGATATAAAACTTTAACATCAACAGTCTCAATATTTTTAGTACAACATACGCAGTAGGGGTTATCCTGGCTGTGGTCATTCCCTATGGGCTGGCTTCCAGAAAGGGAGCAGGCCTCCTGCACACAATCATGGAAATGAGCCTCTGCCAAGTACATGAGGCAGTCAATTCCAGCCAACTGCAAGGTTGGACCCCAGCCTCATCCATACCAGTTATGCAGGGGAGGAGCAAAAGCCTTCCCAAACTTGAACACCATGATAGAGTGTTCAAGTCATCAGCTTACCATATCATACCAACCACAATCTCACAGCTTGGATCCCAGCCCCTTAATCCTGCCAAGGAAGTCATTAAGGCTTCTCAATCAGAAACACTCTGCTGGCATGGTAGGGATGGAGGCCAAGTTATGCCAAGTCAGATCCTTTTGATGTCAAATCCCAACCTTTGATCATGCCAGAAGAGAGGCTGCTACTTCCTATTCATGTGGCTTAAAAGCCCCCACAGTCCCAGAATCTGGTTCCCCTCACAGAAATGGATTCCCAACTCTTATAGATGGAAGCATCTGCCCTGGAACTCCATGGGTAAGAGGTTCGAACACCTGCTCCAGCACCTGGCAACCATCTGGACATTTGACCTTGCATACCCAACAAAATATTCTATTTATTGTGTGTCTACTAAGTCTACTAAGGAGAAAAATTGGGTTTAGCTGACTGGCTGGCCACCTTTTAGCTTTGGTGAGAGAAGCACCTAGAACACTGAGGAACTAGCAGCCTCCCCTCCCCCAATGAATGAGCGTGGTGGGTCCCTAGGAGTCAGGAACATCATGCAGGTCAAGGCCAACTTCTTCCCACTAGCTTCATTAACACCCACAATTACCAGGGTGAGTACAGCCCAGTGGGCAGAGCTGGCTGCCTTAGACCCGAGAAACCAATGAACAAAGAAAACATCTGGAGACAAAATAGGGAAGGACTCGAATCATTGTGGCAAACATACTGGACTTAGACTTTCTACTCCTCCTGTCACATAGAGGGATTTGAGATTTTGCATTTTCAGTCACTCTGGTGATTATTTTTACCTCGAACTATGAGCTTGGACATTCTCAGTGTCAGGAATTTTGACTCCTAAATAATATGATAATGTTGAGAAAATGCATGTAGCAAAATAATATTAATTATTATTATTTATTCAATATCTACATTCTAGGTACTACTCTTTAACAACACTAAATGCTAAATGTTACTTATTTAATTCAAACTAGCACTTTCCCATTCTATGAATTTGGGAAACCAAAACTCAGGAAAATTTAGTGACTAATTTAAAGTTTAAACAATAGTCAGGCATGGTGGCGGGTGCAAACCTGGAATCCCGGCATCTCAGCAGTCTGAGGCAGGAGGCTCACAAGTTCAAAGCCAGCCTCAGGAATTAAACAAGGCCATAAGCAACTTAGTGAGACCCTATCTCAAATAAAAAAATAAAAAGGGCTTAGCACCTTTTTATTTTTTTTAGCACCCTGAGGCTCAATCCCCAGTACCAAAAATAAAAATAAATAAATAAAATTTTTAAAAGATTAAAAACAGCAGGGAATTAAAATTGATTAAAACACACCTATCTAAATCCAAAATCCTCGAGTCTCCCTAAAATTGTAGGTGCACAATTTTATTACAATTACAATTGTATTAAAAGAATCATGACCAACTCAACTTAAGGAATATGAGGTTGGGGAAATGGGCAAGCCCCAAAATAAAAACACCAGAAGCAAAACACAAACTTAATCGTTTTCTAGTTGACTTTCCACGTTAGAGAATATTGTATGTCATTTCCATTGTATCACATTGACATACATCTATGAACCAAATTGCTTACTTAAGTGTCTTTTTCAGGATGAAATTTTAATCAATGTTATCTTTATTTTGTTGTTGTTGTTGTTTTTCCAGTTGAAATCCTACCCTTGCTTTGATGGAAATGGATGGTGCACATTTAAGTATAAACAGCAGAAATGAAGACAGGGAAAGATGAAGGGCAACAGCAAAGTCAACTGGGAGTCTAAACATGGGAAAAACTGTCTTCATGAAGATGTGAAATATATAATTAGAAATGAATGAAAACTTCTCATTCAAGCTATATAGATAGATAGATAGATAGATAGATATCTGTTATATTAGATGAAGACACCAAAAACATGCATTGGAGAAAAGATAGCCTCTTCAACAAATGGTGCTGGCAAAACTGGAAATCCATATGAAACAAAATGAAATTAAACCCCTATCTCTCACCATGCACAAAACTCAACTCAAAGTGGATCAAGGACCTAGGAATTAAACCAGAGACACTGTGCCTATTAGAAGAAAAAGTAGGCCCTAATCTTCATCATGTGGGATTAGGCCCCAACTTCCTTAATAAGACTCCTATAATACAAGAATTAAAATCAAGAATCAATAAATGATATGGATTCAAACCAAAAAGCTTCTTCTCAGCAAAAGAAACAATCAGTGAGGTGAATAGAGAGCCTTTGGAGAAAATTTTAACCACTCCCACATCAGATAAAGAAATAATCTCTAGGGTATATAAAGAACTCAAAAAGCTAAACACCAAAAAACCAAATCGCTCAATCAATAAATGAGCCAAGGAACTGAACAGACACCTTTTAGAAGATGATATATAATCAATCAACAAATATATGAAAAAATGTTCAACATATCTTAGCAATTAGAGAAATGCAAATCAAAACTACTCTAAGATTTCATCTCACTCCTGTCAGAATGGCAGCTATTAAGAATACAAACAACAATAAGTGTTGGCAAGGATGTGGGGAAAAAGGTACACTCATACATTGCTGGTGGGACTGCAAATTGGTGCAGCCAATATGGAAAGCAGTATGGAGAATCCTTGGAAAACTGGGAATGGAACCACCATTTGACCCAGCTATCCCACTCCTCAGTCTATACCAAAATGACTTAAAAACAGCATACTACAGGGACACAGCCACATGAATGTTTATAGCAGCACAATTCACAATAGCTAAACTGTGGAACCAACCTAGATGCCCTTTAGTAGATTAGTGGATAAAGAAAAATGTGGTACATATATACAATGGAATATTACTCAGCAATAAAAGAGAATAAAATCATGGCATTAGCAGGAAAAATGGATGGAGTTGGAGAATATATAGCTAAGTGAAGATACCCAATTCAAAAAAAAAATGCCAAATTTTTTCTCTAATATAAGGAGGCTGATTCATAGTGGGTTGGGAGGGGGAACATGGGAGGATTAGATGAACTCTAGGGCAAAGGGGTAGGAGGGGAAAGGAGGGGACATGGGGGTGAAAAAAGATGGTGGAATGAGATGGACATAATTACCCTAAGTACATGTATGAAGACATGAATGGTGTGAATATACTTTGATTACAACCAGAGATATGAAAAAATGTGCTCTATATGTGTAATGTGAATTGTAATGCATTCTGCTGTCATATATAACAAATTAAAATAATTTTTTTTTAAAAAATTAGAAACCAAAATAAATAAGTAAATAAAAGATATATCTGTTAATAGCTCACTGTACTTATCCATAAAATATCCTTTTTGCCTTCCTTTTCTCAACTAAGTCTTCATATCCTTTAAGATGTATCATTTAATTGCCAGGTTTCTAGGTTGGGCTAATTCCACTTCCAGCTACAAAACAAAACAAAAGGGTTGGCCACAAAAATGCATAAATTTAGGCCATCTATGTTAAGCCAACTGTACCTCAAAATCCTGCCCAAGAGAAAGTTAATTCTGTATGTTCTCAAACAAAAATTTCCTTTCTGTACTTCATCAAGTAAAAATTCCTAGGTCCTAGAAGCCTCCCAAATGATTCCAGTGTCGTGGTATCATTAGACATCAGCTGAGCAACAGATGTGCAAACCCTTGCCTTAGTTTTGAGTGATTCTAAATATTTCTAACCTCACCATTTCCTAATGTCTCCCTTTCACCGAATTCTGTTGAAATGTTTTTTTAAGATTTGGGGCTTTCTTCTAGAGTTGTATGACCTCATGCAATCGTTTAGCAACCCTGACCCTCGGCTTTTTGTTTGAACTTTCATAAACTCTGCCTCTGTGGTTTCATGGAAGAACACACAGAACTCAAAGCCATGCCAAGACAGCGGGAGCAGGGCTTGTGCTGGGGTGACCCAGGCAACAGCAATCCGGCCTTGGAGTTTCCAAACACGACTCCTACAAATCAAAGAACATTTCATTTCTTGAATTATAAGTCCTCCCAAGATGGTTGGAAATATGGAACTTCAAATGCAAGTCAGTTGTAAAAAGAACAAACTTACTAGTAAGTAAAATTAGCGTGGTAAATAAGATTTAGATTCTATTCTAGATGTTGTGTGAGTTGCACAGTGTACTGGCAACTATGGGTAACACAGGAAGCAGAGGGAATGAAGCACAGGGAAATCTGTCTCAGAGCTGGGGAGCAGGCGAGGCAATAGGCTAGGATCTTTTCTGAAGAATGTTTTGCTGCATCAGTATTAGTTGTTTTGGAGAATGTCCCAGAAGAGTTTCTTCCCATTAGTTCCATTTATTTCCCCAAAGTTACAGAAGAACATCAAAATGCTGGCAATTATTACAAGGCCAAAAATTCTCAAATAACAGATCTTGTTGCCATGTTTAGTCTCTTGAAACATGAATTTCATCATATGAGCCCGGCAAAAGGATTTACAGCACCTCTCTCCTGCTCTGAGATCAACCAGTCCGTTAGAGCTACTGAACATCCTCTCTAGGGCAAAGTCCTTCTACTATTAACAGGGTCATTCATTTTTCGGTCATTCAAAAAATGTTTACTGAGCACCAACCCAAGAGGCAGAAATCATGTTGGGTACTAGAGGGGAGGTACAGATGAAGGAGATCTGGCTTCTGCCCTGAGGAAACTCAAGTTTTCCTGGAGTTGGCAAGTAAGTGAGTAATAACTAGAAACACTATGATAAACCAACACCAAATATATGTTCGCAGAATCCTATGAAGCTCAAGAGAAAATATCACAGAGGAGAAACACAGCAGGTGGGCTTTGAGGGATGAGTAGGCACTCCCCAGAGGAGAAGAGGGTTCTCCAGGCCAAGGGCACAGGATGTGCAGTGTTGATCTAAGTCAAACATAGAAATAATGAGGAAGGCAGACTATCACTATATAAAAATTGGTATTTTGATAGGTCAGTAAAGATTTAGATAAGTTTTAGGATAGTAGAGATGGAGAAGGCAGGATCTGGGATAGTCAAAGAAAGATCATCAGTCTTTGCCACTGCTCTCCCCAGGTGGGAGGGAGAGTAGATTTCAGACAGAGATTGGAGTCAGAAGCTCTACGAAAAAGAAACTAGGTCATAACTAAATAATGCAAGAAATTGCACACACTTTCTCCAGCTCACCCATTAAAGCAAATAATAGCTGATCTTCCTTCCCTGTATGTCCAAGGAAAGTCTCTCTCTTCAAGATCTATTCATCTGGACTTTGGAATATAGAGTCAGGACAGAGATGGGGAAGGTAGGCAAGAGGCTCTTAACCCTGAGATGGAATCCATGAGATGCTTGGAATGGAAGCATAGACAGTCGTGATGCAGAATGAGGCAGAAGTGGATGGGATCCCAAACATTGTGACATTCTAGACACCCAAACAATGAAAGTCAATTTTCTGAAATTTATTTCTGAAGTTATAGATGAATGTGTTTTGTTGTTATTTATTCTCTTTTGCTTTTTATCCAAAACAAGATCTGAGATCTGGACTACCTGCAGTGTAACAAAGGACTTTAATTCAACCTTGTCACCTTCCTTGCATGCAAAACATGAACACGGACATCTGGGGATGGAAACTAAATGATTAACAGAGGAATCCAGCAATCTAAGAGGGTACTTTCCTCACTGTACCTATCCATGCCCTTTCATTCAGTTGCTTGTTCATTCCATGCATATGCTTTGATCACCTGCTATGCTACTGACACACACCCAGCTAAACACCTTTTTTGTCTATATAAATCTTGTCCCTCTTAAGCACTCATCAAGTTTATTGTCTGTGCAGCACCTCTTTTCTCTTCCTAAGGAAATGTCCCCAAGCCCTGGCTACAGGAGGGTGCTGTCACAAGCTGCTGGTCGTGGTATCTCTTGCTAACCCAGCAGCCACTCCATGTGGCAGGCCCTACATCCTGGCCAGGACCATCTGGGGGATTCATTTGGATTTCTCAAACTGGAGCTGGGAGACTGACTTTTTCCCTCTGGTCTTAGGCTTTAAAGATATAAGCACAAGCAGCTACCAACTCTCATTCCTGCTTAGAATATTCTGAGGGAATTAAGCCAACCCAGAGAGAGAAGAAAACTGAGGAGGCAAAAAGAACTTCTGCTTCAGTCAAGCCCTTCCTATGGCCTGCTTATATGAGTCAAGAAATGCAGCCCCGTTGACCAAGTTAATTTGAGGTGGTTTTCTCTTGGTGCAATCAAAGGGTTCTGGTCAACACAGCTTCTTCTAAGACCTTATTTGATTCCTTTTCTCCATATTCTACAGGTCATCAAGACTTCCAGCGCCCACAGTACCACTGCCAAGGCTTCCCAACCTTCCCCTGACAATGTGGGCTTGCCATCATCGTGTAACTCTCTTTGTCCCCGACACTGATTCTCCATGCCAAAGACCTCACTAGTAAGCATGTAGTAAGAGCTCAATGCTTTACTAATTTTGAAATAACTTGAATATTATCAAATTATTAGAGCCAGACAAGGTCTTAGAGAACCAATGTGAATTTTCTGTCTTCAATTATATTCCCTGGGAACGTGGGAAGATGGTCATATAAATATATACCGCAATTCTTCCCAAATAATCACAAAATGGCATAAAATCAAAACTGTTCACGTATAAATCTGTATGCATGTAAATGCACCCAGCCGTATCTGATTATAAAGGAGTGTTCGTGTGCATAATTCTCAAATCCAGTTGTAATTAATGGTCTCCAAAGATACCAACACATATTACATAATTCAAGTTTTATGTGAATTTAGTAATAAATACCAAACCCTTAACAACCATGCATACTTTTCAACTCAGAAATTCAACTTCCAGCAATTTACATTAAGAACCCGGAAATGTTTACAGAGATTTTGACATGTGAGTTTTCATCATAACATCGTCAAAAATTGCAAGAGATTGAAAAAACACCAAATGATCCATTCATGGGTAAATAATGAGAAAAAATGATGGCCTATTTGTACAATGGAATTCCAATTTTAAAAACCCATATTATACAGAAAGTTGTTCACACTATTGTTAAATGAGGAAAAGTAGGTAGCAAAATGTGTGTATAGAGAATGATCCCATTTGGGGTGTGTTTTTATAAATGTAAATATATAAATGTAAATGTACATGTATTTATATAAAAAATAGAAGAAAATAGATCAAAATGTTAACCATATGTATCTTGGGGCTGTAGCATTATATGTGAGTTTTACTTTCTCTTTTTTTGCTCATGCTTATCTTGGGAGTTCTCCAAGGGGGGGAAATATATATATATAATTTTTATGTACTTAGAAATAAGAATCTTCTTTTTAATTATAGGCGAAGTGTTCTTAGATCTAATACAAAATCTCCTCATGTTGCAGAGTAAGAAACTGAGGGCACAGAAGTTATACATCTTGCCCGAGATCCCTATGGTAAATAAATGACAAAATTAGAACACTGTGTCTTGGCAGCTTTCTTTCCACCAGACTATTCAACCACTACCCCCACCCCCACCCCATGGATATTGTGCTTAAAAATTATAGCTAACTTCACTCTTTATTTTGAAAGCACCATCCTAAAATGAGCACGGTCCTAAATGTGAGTGGCAGCAAACAGATTTAATAACACCCTTGGATTTCATTTCATGCACTGGTTTCAGTACTTAGAAAAAAGAAGAAAAAAAAAAACAGTGTTGACATGACCTCCTGGAATTGTACCAAAGGATGGGGTTTATTATGGACTGGGACCAAATTCCTCAGTTTGGAACAATTAATAGGCATAACATAGGTTTAAAATTAGTGAAGTCATATTTTTGCAGCTGTTGGATTTCTCAATTCTTTCCACAGCTTAAATGGCTACCTTTGTGATTTCAACAAATAGGACGATGTGTGCTCGTTTATAATAATTAGCTATATGCTTCCACTAACTTACAAAAATTTGATGATTTTCAGGAATCATAACAGACCATGACCTGTAAATTCAATTTCCAATGGTAAAAATCCCCTGACC